TATATATATCAATGGTTCTTTGATTATTTTTCACCTACTGACAGACAAGCTGACTACAAAAGTTCATGTTTTGGATTATGCTTTGCTGCAACCTAACCTATTTTCTCTCAGGTAATCTGTAAATGTGGCTGAGTTATGGACATTTTGTGTTTTCTAACCCTTAATGTGAATTACTGCCAAGCACAAACTATTAATCAATGAATACATTGACTCCACCTGTTGTTTTGTAGATATGACTTCATGTTTAAGCACTTTAAATCGCCCACTTATGATCCAGTCTTTTAATTAGTCTTCATCACCTGCGTGGACTCGCGTGATGATGCAGCTTCCGGTTCACTATCCTCGCGCATCACAGAGCGGCCATTCATCTGCTGCAGCTTCCAACGCGACACACTGTTGGTATCTGGTTGCATCACTGTACCTGAGGATGCCTCTATTTCACACGCGCACACAGTCTACAGTGAACGAGAACACTGGCGCGTGGCTGCATAACATCACACCCCAACACCGCAGCTGCGCGCGTGGACCTCTTTGAAAAAGCGCATCATTGTTCGTTCTTGAATTTTAGTTTATTTAACTTTATTAAACTTCTTAATTACTATTATAAGTAGCTTAATTATAATTAGCTACTATTATAAGTACTATTTTAGCTGCGCATTTTTATATTTACATTTACAGTTTAATTGCGTAAGATGAAATGAATTTAGCGCTTTTTAAATGTTTTACTGATTTTAGTCCTCTTTTTGCGATTAGCTACTTTTTTTAAAGTTAGTAAAAAAAAGTTAAAAGTTAGGGTTTATTTATGAGAAAATGAGACAGTTGGGCTACTTACCACTGTGGCGTTTAGAGTCCATATCACCTAATATTTCCAAGCCTGTTTCCGGTTATATTATCTTTGTCATGTTTAAAATATTTTTTAGAAACATGCGTGACGTGTTGAACCCACTAASAGCGGCTCTCTGTGACTCCGGGTGGCCGCTCCAGTTGGACTCTGCGGCCGCTCAGTCATCACCTGGGACTCCTCTGGGTCCTAGAACCTGCCGTGTTCTGACACACAAATCCCATTTACTGTAGTTCTATTTGAGGAGCTGTAATCCCTAAAAACAAAAATAATCTGCTAATTGGCATTATGTAACAGCCAGAGTTAGCTTTCAAATGTCATCCTTTTAACTCCTTTTACATTGTATCTGAGTTTAAATGCACTAAATGTTTTATTCACTTAATAAAAAGTGTGATTATCTGTGCAAAATGTGTTGCATTTTGAGTCCATATTACACTTCTATTCACTGTGCATGTGTGTAGTAAAACTAGACCAGCAACACTCACCCTTTTTGCACTCTTACCTTATGTTTAATTAATTATCACCTAATAGGAAATTGTGAAAACAAGGGAAAATGTTTCACAGCTTCAACTTTGCAATTCATTACTAGATGTGAAACAGAATTTGGTAACTGGGTGGTAAAGGGATATGTCATATCTTGTTAGTGGACAGTTACAATAAAAATAAAGTTTAAGTGGCTCCACTTAGAGATCCAAGGAAGATTTGCAAGAATAAACTAGCTCTAAAAAGTAATCTGTCAGAGCCGTAAATCCCTAATCTGTATATTTGACAAATCACATCTCACGTCAAATTCTTTGACACAAGTGACCCAGAACAAGAAAATTAAATAAAGATCACATTCATGTTCACCCCATCCATTATGGAT